AGTTCTGTTATTTTCCCAACTGTCATTCCCTCGCGGTGTTCAGTGCCTCCCTCAAGTCTCCCAGCCGGGCCTGCTGATCCCCGCAGCCGCCAGCTGTGCGCTCCCGCAGCCTCCTCGCGCCCGGCACTGTCCGCCCAGGGCAGGCGGGGCCACTTGGCACGGCGGGACGTCGGCCGTTGCCGCGTGGGAGACGCCCCACAGAGGGCTGTGGCGTTGTGCGCCAGGCCGCCTGCGTGAAGTGGGCACAGAGCAGCTCTTGAACATCCCGCTTGGGAATGCAGAGTCCCAGCAGTGGATGCTTGGACACCTTCCCCTCATTCATTCCCTCCCTCCCTCCCTCCCTCCCTCTTTCTGCTCTTCTACCTGCTTAGCCACTGAAAGGGAGAGAAAGCGATTCCATTCAATCTGCAGTGCCTAAGTTATTGCTCAGTGAATGCCCATAATCATAATGAAAATAAGGACGTGGGATATGCCGAATTCAGCTATGCAGAGAGCATCCATCGGAGCGGACTCAGATGTGTCCAATCAGGCTTGTGTTGCTCGGGTGCAAGGAGATGACTCAATCCTGGGACGTAGCTCTTGCTCTGCCCCCCCCCCCCAAAGTGTTCTGGGCAGGCATGCCAGTTCTGCACTCGTGTGTGTGGCTGGCAGCTTCGGCTCCGATTTTCCAAGGGGCTTGTTGGGGCACAGCCTCCCTTCCCCGAGCCCACGCCTGTTCCTCATGCTGCTCTCCAAGCAGGGCTGTGCTTGCTGCATCACTGGGGCTTCGGTCTCCATTTTCCCTTAGGGCGCAACATGCTCCCTTCTGGGGTTTGCCTCCTTCCGGGGTGGCATCGTGGCAGAGCCGTGGCACTGCAGGTTGGCGGCCCCTACACCAGACGCCTCTGCTGCGGGTTGGGATTTAGCCGCCGGCCTCCTGTGCAAGCGCCCATGAGCGTGGCTTGGAAGCCCCGTGGGCACAGGCACAGTGCGGGGGCCCCGCAGCCCCCGTGCGCGAGGGGTCATGGCGCACAGTGAATGCTCTGGCCGGGAGGTGGGGGCCTTGTCCAGCTGTGCAGGTCTTCTGCGCTTGCGCTGCCCCCGCTTGCTGGGCTGAGCGTGCCGGGCGCCCCAAGGCATCCCGCCCGTGTTGCGGTGGGAGAGCTGGGTCCCCATGCAGCTGCTGCACAGGACTGTCCCATTCGGCATCAGAATTACCCTTGGTGACTGGCTTGGGTCAGTGATTTATCAGTAGCAGTTCCTCCTGGCTGGCGCCCCAGAGTGGCTCTGTCACTCGCTCTCCAGCGCCGGTCGGCCTGAGATTGTGTCTCAGGTGCAGAAGGGAAGAGCCTGGTTCCTTTACTTTCGCAGGCGATCGTGTGCATCTGGGCCCGTTAGACACAGTCGTAAGAACTGAGCTGGATCAGAGGGAAGATAATCTGGGCCGGGCCGGTCTCTCCGCAGTGGCCCAGCTAGGAGCCCGTGAGCAGCCAGGCCCTTCCAGCCCTGCTTCCCCACAGCCAGCCCAAAGGGGCGTGTGGTGAAACCTTAGGCGGCCACCGTGACCCGCGGACGGCGATGGCCAGATCCTCCCCGCATCGCCCTTCAGGGCTGAACAAGTTGGCAGCCACCTCCACGTCTTGGGAAGGCGCTTCTGGGGTTCCCGCAGCCACGTTGTGAAGACACAGTTCCTTTTGCCTGTCCCGAATCTCCTGCCGTTCAGCTCCATGGGAGGAAATCTGGTTTCAAGGGAGAGGAGGAAGAGCACAAGCAAAAGGGGCCTGAATGCAGAGGCAGGAGCTTTCGGATTCATCTGCCGGCTGTTCCCGCCGCATTTAAGCAGCGCTTGGAAATTCGCCTTGGAAATGATGTGTCTGGCCTAGACTTGCTCTCACGCTTTTGGAAGCACGGCGCTCGCTACCAGAGCACAAGCGGGCCCTGCGCACTGTGCGCGTGGAGCGTGTGCAAGCAGCACCTGTCTGGTCTCATCATGCTGAGCGCGTGGCGTCCGAGGAGCGACGCGTCCCCTCGAATCGGCCTGACGCCGCCTTCCCCGTCACGGCCTCCCGCTGCTGACCTGCGAGGCCGCGATGCAGCTGGAACTGGCAGCAGCCACGGGGCTTGTCCGGCCGCATGAGGGGCACGGCCTCTCTGTGCCCCCCCCCCCGCCTGCCGATCGTGCGGGTGGCAGTGGCTTAACCCTTGTGCTGCCAGTTGGGGGGTCTCTGTGCCTGGGAAGAGCAGTCCTTGCGGGACCCTCAGCTCCAGGAGAGGCACACTGAGCGGTGGGTGAGCCCGAGGGGAGCCTGGGACACTGCCCCACGCCGCGCCCCCCCCACCGCTTTCCTCGCACCCTCTCAGACAGCCACCTGCCGGTGCCACAGCTGCTCCCCTTCACGCCGAGGGCCTTCTGGATCGCTGTTTCGGGGATCTCTTCCCAGTCAGAAGTGTTCGGGAAGGTTATGTTTGCACGTGCGTGTCCGAGTCCAGCCCGTGTGTGAAGGTGCCCCCTTGGGTGCGTCTCTGAAGTGCCCCGCAAGGCCTGTGTGCGATCGCCGCAAGTCCTCCAGAAGAGAAGGGTGAGGGACGCTGCTCCTACAGTGCTGGAGCTGGAAGGGGCTGAGAAGGCCATTGAGGCCGAGCCCCTGCCCAGCGTGGCGCTCCAGGTGAAGCGCCCCTGCGGGTGGCTGTCCAGCCGCATCTCACATGCCTCCGCGGGCAGGGCCGCCCGCCTCCGCCCCGGATCACGGGCTCCAGCAGCCAGGGAGGTCTTCCCCGTGTTCGGCTGGAACTCGGCTGCCTGTCACTGGAGCCGTGACGCCGTGTCTGCACTCCGGGACGGTCAAGAAGGGATCCCGGCCCTGCTCTGCCACAGGTTCCCCAGGACTCCCAGAGCGTTGTCCCGTCTCCCCTCGGCATCCCCTCCTCCGGGCCCCACGTGCCCGGTTCTCCCCGCCTCTCCTCCTAGGACTTGCTTCCAGTCTCTGGATTATCCTTGCAGGCCTCCTCTGCGTGCGTCTTCCTTGAAGTGGGGTGCCCAGACCTGGGCGCAGGAGTCCAGGCGAGGCCTGACCGGTGCTGAGCCAGGGGAACTGGCGCTTCACGGGGTCTGGGAGGGAGACTTTCTCCAGTGCAGCCCAATATAGCACTGGCTATTTCTGCAGCCACATTACATTGTCGACCCACCCTCAGCGGGTGATTTATGAAGATTCCAAGATCCTTCTCACTGGCAGTCTTCATTGTGAGCCACGAATCACCCGTCTTGTGGCCCTGCCTTCGGCTCCCTCTTCCTAGGTGTGGAACGTGGCATTTGGCCCGGTAAAGACTCACTGCGCTGTTCCCGGCCCCAGACTGCAGCCCATCAGGATCGCGCTGAGTCTTGCTTCTGGCTCCCACGGCGAGAGCCATCCCGCCTGGTCCTGTGTCATCTTGCGGAGAGGTGGCTCGGACCTGCTCGGTGGGCCATCGCAGGGGAAGCCAAGCGGACCTCGCCATGGGGTCCTGGTCAGCCTCTCTCCTGAGAGCCTCTCTCAGCGTTGCAGTGGATGTAATTGTTGCTGTTACCGCGCGATGTGCAGAAGATACTTGACACTGTGAAGAGCAGAATATTTTTGGTTGTGGCACAAAGGTTAAGTGGGCAAAAACAAACTGGCAGTTGTGGGTTGTGTAAGTGTTCAGCCCCTTTGCCGTGACGTGTCTGAATAAGTGGTCCAGCCGTGGCCTCCAGAGGTCACACAAGGTCAGGGGTCAAATGGCGTCTGCCTGCATACTATTCCAGTGCCACGTGGCCCCGGATTTAATGTTCCGGCTTCAGGGAAGCCCTGCAGTTCGCTGAAGAGGCTCTCTAAGCGAGCGGCAGCGCGAAGGCCAAAGAGCTGCCCGGACAGCTCCGGGATAGTTTTACAGCAGCGCCCGCCAGGGCTGGGTGAGTGGAAAGAAAAGTCCCAAACGCACAAACATACCCTGGGAAGAGCGTGGCTCAGCTCAACCCTTCCTGGAGAAGGGAGGCCACCCACCAAACCCGGTCCCCAGGCGTGGAGGGCGCCAGTCGGAGAAGCAGCCAGGAGGCCAGTGGGCGCTCTGAGGAGCTGGAGAGCCCCGGTGTTCATCTGCTCATTCCATTTCTGTTCCGCCCGAGAGCCAAGCGCCTCTGGCAGTCAAGTGGTGTGTCGACGAGGCGGCCGAACCATCCCCGTGACAGCCTCCCCCCAGGGCTCCGCAGCACCGGGCCTTGGGGAGAGGAAAGCCGTTGCCCGAACGGCCCGCGCGTGCGCCAGCTTGCTTAACTTTTGTGCCGTGAGGAGCGCATCTTGCACCTTCCCAGTGCTGCCCGTTGGGCAGCCACGCCATGCGAGTTTGCTTCCATTCCGGGCTGTAGCAGTAGCCAATGCAGGGAGGACACGGGGCGCGAGTGCGGCTCCGACCGCGCCGTGCCCCCCGTGGCTCTCGCTGGGAGCTCGCTCGCTTGCATGCGGCCCTCGCTGGGAAGCGGGTGGGCCAGAGAGGGCCCTGCTCAGCCCATGCAAAGCCACGGCACGCCTGCACGGCTGGCAGGGGTGGGGGGTCGCAGTCTCTGGCTGGTGCACACAGGTGTGCCTGGCAGGTATTGCCCTTCAGACTCCACCCCCTTCCCCAGTCCCGGAACGTCGACTCTCTGGGCGGGTGTCGGATGCCACTCGGCCTCAGTGCAGGAGGTGTGTGGATGGTGCCCAGGCACCTGCCGGCCCCGATCCTTGCCGCTCTCCGCTCCGGGCGCCAGCGCAGGAGAGGCCGTTGCAGGAGAAAGCGGTGCCGCGGCCAGCAGCTGGCAGTGCCAGTTCAGGGACGGGGAAGCCGCTTGGGCGGGGAGGGGGCTGCGCCAGGGCCGAGGGCGCTTCCGTTGGCCCGTCCAAGTGTATGCGCAGCCGGCCACACAGCAGCCGGGCGCTTTGGCTGTGCCAGGGAGGTGCGCGTGCGAGGCGCCTGTGCCCTGGGCCCGCGGTGGGTGCGACCGGCGCCTTTCGCCTTGTGTCTTCCTGCAGTGCTGAGCATCCGCGGGGCCCAGGAGGAGGAGCCGAGCGACCCGCAGCTCATGCGGCTGGACAACATGCTCTTAGCAGAAGGGGTGGCCGGGCCGGAGAAAGGAGGGGGTGCGGCGGCGGCGGCGGCGGCAGCGGCGGCCTCCGGCGGTGCCGGTGCAGACAACTCGGTGGAACACTCGGACTACCGAGCGAAGCTCTCCCAGATCCGCCAGATCTACCACACGGAGTTGGAGAAATACGAGCAGGTACCAGTCTTGCGTGTGCCACGGCGGTGTGGAAGCCGGCGTCGGGCCGTGGCTCCTGTCCCACCTCTTCTGTGCCCGCGGGACGCGATTTCCTCGAGCAGCAGCCAAGCGGCCCCTCCTTGCCCAGGCGGCATCGCTTGCAGCCGAAGGCGGGCGCAGGTTGCATGCCTGAACACTGCCTGCAAAGTCGTCCTGGCTGTTGGAGGGAGCGTTTGAGGGCGGGGGGGCAGAGGGCGGAGGGCTGGGGCGGATCCACCTCCTGCCGGGGCCGGGGCGCTGTTCCAGGAAGACGTTCCCGGAGGCCAGCATCCGTTCCCAGCGGGTGTGTTCCGGGAAGAGCTCGCCGCTCGAACTTACCAGTCACGTCCGCTGGCCCACGGTTCTGGGGCGTACCTGTGAGATCACACAGAGGGGAATCAGGGCAAATCCCAGCCCTTCCATGACACCCACCGGCAGGCCTTAGAGAGCCCATGCTGAATCCACGGCGTGGGGCTGCCCCAAAGAGAAGGCAGTGTGCACTCCGTGTGGTCCCACTTTGCTCCACGGTGGGAAGCTGGGTAGTTTGCACACCGCTGGCTTCGGGGGGGGGGTGGTGGAGACCCAGCCCGTAACTGGCTGAGCATTGTGTTACGACGGGTTAAGCGCTGTCACACACGCCCGCAGTCCCCTCCACTGAGCAGGCCGGCAGGCCGATGAGTGCAGGATGCGGCCCGCGTGCCGGCGTGCAAGTGCCGGGCTGCCACTTGGACACCTCCGGAGGCCCCGTCAAGAGGGCCGCGTCTTCTACTCTCGGCTGCTTTCTGAAGGCTGTCCGAGTGTTTACAAGGTCTGTTCAGTACAAAAATTATTTCTGTATTCCTGCCTGCCTTTTCCTTAGTCTGTCCATCCATTTACTTAAAGAGCACCTAATAACTAAGCTTCACTGGGTAGGGTACAAATAAATTAAAAACATAATATGCAAAACAATGGGCGATTATAAAGAGGACGTGTCATAAAAACAAAATGAGCAGCAAAGGATAAAAACACTGTAGCACAAAAGCCAAAGGAAGACTCACTTTCAGAAATTATCAGCAAAATACAAGCGCTGAGATATAAAAGCACTAAGGGCGAGTCTTAAAATACTGTGAGAATAACAAGGTCTTCAGGCAGCACCAGCAAGAGCTTAGCTTGGGGTCCGGTGAGCCGCTCAGGTAGGCATTCCATCGGTGGAGCATCACCCTGGAAGGTCCTTTCTCTTGCAGCTCTCCTCCCTTCTTCACCTTGCAAGGTGTCGGGTAGGCAAACACCTGGGTACATAAGCGTGGGAGAGAGCGTGCCTTCAGGGGATCTGTCCTCTGGAGCATCCCATTTCGAAACAGGCACTTCCTGGGACCCAGAGGTGGACTGGCTGCCCATGGAGATGGCCGGCCCTGCCGCTCCCCTGGCCAGGCCCAGCGACTGGCTGGCCAGCCGGCCTTGGCCCGCTTGCCTTCCAGAGGCAGCCTCAGCTGGACACACTGCTGCGGCCCCGACGGGGCGCTTCCGGGTTGTGCAAAGCTGCCGTGAGGCTCGCTCGGTCCAGGCAGGGCTGCCGTCGGTCCACCGGCCAGCGGATGAAAGGTGCTCCGAGCACCTCAGAGGCTGCCTCAGAGGGGAAGGCCAGGTCTCTCCTCGCCACTGCCGGAGTGCAGGACACGGAGTAATGCGTGCAAGCTGCGACAGCCCAGATTCAGGCTGGGCATCAGGAAGAGTTTCCTCACGGTCAGAGCAACACGACAGTGGGACCAGCTGCCCGGATGGGTGGGGGGCTCTCCCACACTGGAGACGTTCAAGGGGAAACGGGGCAGCCCTCTGAGTGCGAGGCTGTGACTTGGTGTCCTGCAGCAGCAGGGAATTGGACTCGATGGCCTTCATGGCCCCTTCCGGCTCTGCTGTTCTGTAATCCCGTTTGCCTTCGTTTTCCCGCCGCTGGCGCTCACCTCAGGGAGTCCTTGCTTGCATCACCCGCCTCCTGGAGCAGCGGCCTCGGAGGCTGCTGGGAGGAGAGGTGCCTCAGCCGGGCAGGGAAGGGGCCGCCCTGAGACCCCTTGCCGGATCCGTGCAGGGGCCGCTCCCCAAGCAGGGGCTCCAGGAACCAGGTGCCTGAGCTCCTGGCAACATTACGGCCGCAGCTCAATTCCAGTCATTACGTCCTTGCCCTTTCATGCCAGGGATCTTGACGCGTTCTGCGTTTCTACAGCCTTAAATATTATCGTTCTTATCAAACACGTGAAAATCCTGCCAGGCGTTTTGCTGGGACGGATCGATCCATGTCACCCGGAACCCGTGCAGACCATCCGTGCTGCCCCGCTGAGAGCATGGGCTGCGCAGGTGGGGCCGGGCTGGGGGCAGCCATGGGGCCGGGCCGGGCCGGCGGAGGCGCTGAGCTGGAGAGACCGGCAAGCGAGAGGAGGGCTCCCTGCTCTCAGCGAAGGTGGTCTGCTTGGAGAGCACCCACTCCCCCCCCGGGGCTCTCGCCTTCTGCTCCACTGCGCAGTGCCAGCGACCGCTGAGTCCGCCACGCCTCCGAAGCGGCCCTGCCGGCCACACGCCGCTTTCTGGGCTCCCGCTGTTGGCCCCCCGCACCGCGTCCCTGCAGTGCCCGCCGTTGGCAGCCAGGCCAAGCCGCTCCCTTCGCTGGCCGGCTCTCGAAAGGCCGCTGAGCCGCGCAGCGCTTGACGCGCCTCCCGTTGGCTCTGCAGGGCCGGAGAGCCGGGGACCACGGCCTGCCCCATCTGGCCAGGCGCCTTGTCACGGTTGTTCCCCCCCTACTCCCCTCTCCCTCCAGAGCTCTTTGAGCACTGGCCGCCGCGTTGGAGTCCCCGGCACATGGGAATGCTCCCGTTGACGCGCTCGCTCGGGACTCCCTACGTGGTGAGCGCAAGGCCGCGGCGGGGCCTGCGCCTGGCCCCTCTGCCGGCAGCACCTCTGGTCCTGAGGGCTCTGCTTGCTCTTCCCTCTCCTGCCCAGGCGTGCAACGAGTTCACGACTCACGTGATGAACCTGCTGCGGGAGCAGAGCCGGACCCGGCCCATCTCCCCCAAGGAGATCGAGCGGATGGTCAGCATCATCCACCGCAAGTTCAGCTCCATCCAGATGCAGCTCAAGCAGAGCACCTGCGAGGCCGTCATGATCCTGCGCTCCCGATTCCTCGATGCCCGGTGAGTTGCGCTCCCGCGTGCGGACAGTCAAACCCTTCCCCGCTGTGGGTGGGAGCTCTTCAGGGTTGGGGCTTGTGAACTGCTTCCGTAGGCTGCAGGACGGGTGGCTCTCCTGTTCGCTTGCCGTTCAAGGTGCCAGTGCCGCAAATGGCCCACAGGTGTGTTTGAGAAGTTGGGCTAACAGGCATTTTTACGGCTTAGACTCGCTGTTGGCTTTTAATGAACTTATTTCAAGGTCGATTTACCTGTTCCTCCTAGAAAAGTCAGGCCATGTTGAATCATTTTTAGTTTTAACTGAAAGGAGGCGGCTGCTAATACCTGCTGGAAGAGGAAATGGGCAAGCTAGAGGGTTATTTCCCAGCACAGGCTAATATCAAACTAGATGAGGAATGTTCCTCTGATGCCGTTTCCCAAGCTAAGATTGAAAGGCGGAGAGCAGAAAGCACTCTGATGTGCCTGCTTTGAAGGGGTCGGAAAAGTGTGGGGCATCTGTAGGACTACATTAAGTGGATGGTCCTGCTGGATTAGGCAAGGGACGGTCTTCGTGTGACTCAGACGTGGGAAGGGACGGAGAGCCCCATGGCACTTTTGTGGTGCATAAGGACTCCAACCAGCAGGAGGAAACGAACTAAGGAAAGGCGTAAGAATCCAAGGGCGGGCAAAGACGGAACATGTCACTTCTCCAGCTTGACATGTGCATGCAGCCGAGAGAGACGCATGAAGGTGCCTTTATCCCTTCGGACACGGGGGAAAGGCGCCCTCCTCCAGCGCTCCCCTTGTGACAGTGCAGGGCTGGTGGAGAGGGCACCGCTTCAGGGAGAGATTCTGGGCCGGCCCTCCCTCCCCTTGTTGTGCTGGTTTTCTGTTTGCAGGGACTTCTCTTCGTTTTGCAGAGGGAATGCGAGCGAGTTGGCTTTCTCCTTCATTTGCCCACCTTTCAGCTTGCAACTAGGGCCACGTGGTCTTCCAACTCACCTCAGGTTGTAAAAGCCATTTGGAATGAGCAGATGGAAGGCGTTTTGCAAAAGAAAGATGACACGAACGACTGAAATTTTTCCAAAGTTCTTAAAGCCCACAGACTTGCATTTTAAGCTACAAATATTGATCCTTGCTCCGAAATGCAGGAAGGCGAGCCTGGTGGCCCCGTCGAGAGCATCTGGGCAAAATCAACGTGCCAAGGAGCTCAGGAGCCGGACAGCCGGGCCTGCCAGCAGCCACCCCACCAAGGGGCAGCGGAGGGCGAGGCTTTTGCCAGGCAAGCCGCCCGTGCTTCAAGGACGTGTGGCGTGGGGGGAGCGGGGCCGTCAGTCGCCCCCGGCTCAGTTGGGAGGCAACTTCTGCCAGAAGCGCCCCTCCCAGGAACTCTTGCCATGTGCGGCGGATAGCTTTCCCCTCCGGAAAGTGGAGGGCGGAACCGGTGGGTTGGCCTCCCCGACCTAACGCTGACCGGTGGGGTGACTTAGTGGGCAGAGTGGAAGTTCTGGGGACTCGGGGAAAGTGAGCACAACATGCCCAAGTTCCCGATTTGAAGGGAAGCAGAAGGGGGCCGGACGCATACTCCGGATTTTGGGAAGCTGGTTTGAATATACTCGGGGCAGTGACAAGCAAGGCCCCTGGCAAGAGGCCCCAAGGGGAAAGGATGCCAAGACAGGCGGGAGTGCCTCAAAAGGGGGGTGTGAAAGGCACGATTTCCAGCAGTGCCAGCAATGCCGACAAAGGGCAGCGGGTGACGGAAGGAGCCAGTGGGGCTCCCCAGAGGGCCTCCAGCTGACCCAAGAGCAAGAGAGGCCGCGAAGGGGGCGTGGAAGGAAGGCCGGTGGCGAGAGCAGGGCAGGGACGGGCCGGGGGCCCGAAGGGCAGCAGGAGGGCCGGGCCGGAGGAGGAGCTGCGTGGCCAAGCGAGGCCAGAGGCACCCAGGGGCTTCCTTCAGGTGCATTCACAGTGCAAGGAAAAGCAATGGTGGTTCGACTTCTCGCTGCGGTGGGCAAATTGGTGACAGATGGCAAAGAGGAGGCCAAAGTGCTCCATTCTTATTTTGGCTCCGTCTTCTCCCAAAAGCAGGTCTGTTCCCCTGGCAGAAATGAAGTACAAACCAAAGGATCCAGATTGAAGCTTCATATTAATAAACAAATGGTCAAGGAACTCCTGTGTGTTTGAATGAGTTCAGGCCTCCAGGGTATGATGAACTTCATCCTAGAAAAATAAAGGAACTGGTATAAATACTTGCAGAACGACTGTTGATTAATCCTAGAAAAATCATGGAGGGTAGAAAAAGTTCCAGATGACTGGAGAAGAGCTCATGTTGTCCCCAGCTTCCAAAAAGGTGAAAAGATGAATCCGGGAACCAGTCAGTCTGACAGCAATCTCTGGGAAGATCCTGGAGCAGATAATAGTCAGTCTGTACGCACCTTGAAGACAATGGAGTGGTCGTTAGGAGCCAGCGTGGAACAATCAAGCACAAGTCTGGCCAGACTAATCTGATCGCATTTTCTGACCTACAACTTCCCCTGAGATTGTGGGAGCGCTGTGGGCCTGGGACAGCTTGAGCTCAGCAAAGCTTTCCACAGAGTGGCCCCTGGCGTTCCGATCGGCCACCGGCTCCGAGTGGGCCGTGGAGTCGGACTCGGAGCCTGCGTCTCAGTGGCACCTTCTCGGAGCGGGAGGAGGCAGCGGGGGGGAGCCGCAGGCTCCGTCCCAGGCCCGGCCCCCTTCGGGGCGTTTGCTCACGACTTGGGTGAAGAGGCGCACGGAATGCCAGGGAGACTTGCAGGTGGCACCGAGTGGGGCGCGGCTCGCTTATCCCTGCAAGACAGAAACACAATTCAAAGCACTCTTGATAGGCTGGAAGTAACAGAATGAAATTGAGCAGGGGCAAATGCCAAGTTGTGCACCTACTTATTTTAGCTATTTAGTAGATCTATAGCCTGCCTTTTTTCTTGTTTAAAGAACTCTAAGCACTCATCATTCTCCTCCTCCTGACCAAAACAACCCTGTGAGGGAGGCCGGGCTGAGAGTCTGACTGGCCCGGAGTCACCCTGTCGGCTCCATGGCTGCGCGGGGACTCGAACCTGGAGCGCCCGTGCCAGTCCCGTGCTCTTCACCACCGCACCACACGGGCTCTCAGGAAAGGGACCCTCATGCCCTTACAAGAGGGGAAGTACTGAGCTCAGCGGTACTTGAAGTGAGAAGGATCTTGGAATTGTCAATAAATAAATACACCTGAACAAACGGAGGAGGGCCAGGATCTCTTCTCAGTCCTCCCAGAGGGCAGGTCACGGAATAACCGGCTCGAGCTGCAGGAAGCCGGCTTCCGGCGGGATGTTTGGAAGCGCCTCCTGAGTGTGAGAGCGGCGCCAGGGCGGAGCCGAGTTCCTAGGGCGGTGTGGGGCTCTCCCACACTGGAGGCCTCCCAGATGCAGCTGGACGGCCCCCTGAGCGGGGTGGCTTGGCTGGCTCCTGGCCCCTTCAACTCCGCTCTTCCACGTTTCTACACCCACAAATGGTGCTCATGGCATAAGCAGCGAGCCCAGGATCCCGGCCGTCCCACGGGCTCCAAAACGCGGGAGGTGGACGCAGCCGGACGGGGCCGCTCCTGCTCCTCGTGTCTGCGTGGCAGTGCCACGTCCAGCGCCAGCCGCATGGGATCGGGGCCGTGATGTTGAGGGAGGGGCAGGGGCTCGCCTCGTTCCCCACCATCTCGTTTCACGATGCGGAACGCCCCTCCAGAGCAGCTCCCGAGTCGTCCCCGTGTTTCTAGCCCGCGGGGCACGCGACCGCGCGGTGTGCCCGGGAGGACCGCCCAGCCTGGGGCCCGGCACGTCCGCCTCCTCTGTGTGCCGCTGCCCGGGGACAGCAGCCATTTCGCACCTGCGCAAGTGCAGCTGGGGGGCTGCCCCATCCTCAGCCCCGATGGGAGCACAGCTCAGCCCCGCGGGCCAAGGCAGCAGCCTCCTCCCCACCCGTCTGGGGCCACGCCCGTCCCTTGATGTGTCTTTCCACGGAAAATCGCTTCCCACGAGGAGGAAGCAGATTCTGACCGGAGAGCAGCCCTCGAGGAAAGGGGCGAGTCGCACATCCTGTCCTGCCCACGGCTGTCTCGGCCAGTGTCCCGCTCACTCGCACGCACCCGGCTGCGCTGGGACGGCGGGGAAGGGCTTCTTGTCTTGGCAGAGGACTGGTTCGTTGGCCGATCGGGATCCCGTTGGTGCCCCTCCCAGGGGCCTCCTTTGAAAAGACGCTTCCTGGGAGCCACTGCTGATGACCTCTCTTTCTTCTTGTCCAGGCGGAAGAGAAGAAATTTCAACAAGCAGGCTACCGAAATCCTCAATGAGTATTTCTATTCCCACCTCAGCAACCCGTACCCCAGTGAGGAAGCCAAAGAGGAACTAGCCAAGAAGTGTGGCATCACAGTTTCACAGGTAGGGCCCGGGGCGCGCGCTGCACTGTGGCGTCTGCCTGTCCGTCTGTCTCGCCTCCCGACCGTTTGCAGCGCCCAGGAATCAGTGGCTGGGATTTTGCCCACGCCCGGGGTCCCTCCAGCAGCCTGTTTTGGGGGAAGTGGGGAAAACCTTTGGGTTGTCACTCCAGTGAGACAGTGGGGGGGGGGCTCTGCCCCCCTATGGGCGATTCCTCTGAGATCCTCCGGGGGGGGAGTTCCTTTTGCCCACTGCAGGACTTCCTTAGCCTTCTGCTTCTGACATACAGATTAATTGGTGTTTGGTGTAGTAACTTTCCAGATACCGAATTGTATTAACTAGAATTTATGCCTCGCTGCTTTCAATGTTTCTTGGAAGCTATTTATTAATGAACGTGTGAGAATAATTTATTTTCAAAATCGCTCACTCTGGGTGTGTTTCTTTATGAGGATTGCCCACCCCAAACTTTGGGAAGGTGAGTGCGAGATGCTCCGCCAGCCCTCACCTCACGAGGAGGGTCCCCCTGCCCGTGCCCACATCGCCCCCTGCCCACCCCGGAGTGTGCTGCGGACCCGGCGCTGCTGCGGTCTTCCCACAGGACCGCACGGAAGCTGCGCTGCCGCCGCGGGACCGCACGAGGCTCGGGGCTGCCCTGCCAGTCCGCCCTCCCGCGCTCGTCTGGCGCGCTCCGGCGTGGCTCCCTGGGGCGTGCGCAGCGCTTCTGAGCTTCGCCAGGTCCCCCCCCCCCCCCCCCCAGATGCGGAGTGGGTTTCAGATCCGGGGTGGAGCGGCCCAGGTGTTGTCCTGGATGTAAAGCAGGGTCAGGCGGGGTGTTGAAGCTGCCCCCCGCGGCACCCGGTGGGCCCCCCCAGTTTCAGCGGGGCTTTTGAGGCGAGAGAATTCAGGGTGCGTGCTGGAATCGGTGCAGCCAGCTGGTCCTGTGCAGGTACGCAGGCAAACGGGGGCCCCGCGTACCCCGGAACTTATGCAGGCAGAGCAGTCGAGGACTTCCCCCCCCAAACCTGGCGAAGTTGCACCACCCGTTGCATGTAAGATCGCTGTTTTGCACAAAAGGTAAGAGCTCATCCGGTTTGGGTTTTGTCCTTTTCGCTTTTCATGTTGACCGAAACACACAAAACATTTCTTCAGTTGACTCCATGGAAGGTTCGAGCCGCCCGGCCTCCCCTTTCATTGCAAAAGAGCCGATATTATCTGTGCCTGTTCAATGAGAGCATCACGGCGGCCGAGGGCTGGCTTGGCAGAGGAAAACGGTGCTCAGAGGACAGCACAGGTGCATCCCAGAGTGTTGCCTGAAGCCGCACTGAGACAGGTCGGCTGCTCTCCTCTTTTTAGGGTTTACCTAGAGAAGCAGCGATTTTTGGAACTTGGCTCTTCATGAAGGAGGCGCATTTCGCTCCAGGGAAGGCGTAGGGGCGCCCCTTGACCCTGGAAGCGCATTGGCGGAAGTGGCATCAGATCTCTGTAGGCTTCCGAAGATCTGGCAGAACCTTGCCCTCCAGGCCATAACTCATGGTCTTGGGCAGTCCGTAATTCACCGCCCTGGACTGTATGCAGCCGTTACCTACTTAATGGCCACTCCCTGATTTGGAATCTCGTAACTGTCCAGAGAGCCTCAGCTGTTGGGTGGCACACAAATTAAATAAATAAATAGCCCTGTTGCGGGAGCCGCTTCCTCGCAACCGGTGAATTGGCACAGCCGAATCCGAACTGGGCACACCCAGGTTCCGGGTCACGTGTGAATAAAGCGCACCATGTTTGGCCATACGGTGCGTATTCCCGTCTTTGGGAAAACACCGTGTGCGTGATTTGTGGTTCTAGCACAGGGTTCCCCCGACATTTTGGACCCGTGAGCACGCGACTTTGGGCGCAGTCACAAAATGCCCAGTCACACTTTGGCCACCTGCCTGATGGGAACAGCCGGTTCAGGGCGTGCAGGAACCATTGGTCACCTGTGTAAAGCGCTCTGTCTGCAGGAGCGGAAGCCACACGCCTCCAGGTGCTCACAACCGTGGCGGTCCTGCCCCGAGCGGCTCCAGCCTCTGGCCTTCAAGGCTGTGCTTGGCCAGGGAGGCTCCATTCCTACCACGGGGCAGGGCATCGGCATCGCTGCCCGTGAGAAAAGCCGCGGTGCCCGTGCCATCCCAGTTGCCACGGCAGGACCGGTTCTTCCGCGGGTGCTGTGGGGCACATGCCAGCCCCCGGCCAGGCAGGGTCTCGGTCGCGTGGAGACCGGGGCGGGCGGGCCCCATCCCAGACCCCTTTGCCGACGCTCCCCCCACACTCTGAACCATGGGGGCCGCCTGCTTCAGAAGCGGCAGGCGGTTTGGCCCTTCTCCGGTGGGCACGCAGAGACGCCGATCCGTCACCCCCTCCTCCCCGACTCTGCACGCGTGACACAGTCTGCCAGAAATGAGCATTCCAGGGGCCGCCCGGTGCTTTATGCGCAAACACTTTGTCTGCACCGATGCGAGCGTCACGCGGACACTTCCGTGGACAGCTGTGCAAACGGCTGCATTTGGATTGCCACCAGGTCCCCTGCGGATGCCGGTTTCAGGAGAGTCCAGCGTCACGGCTGGTCTTGTTCGCTCCCCTTCCCCAGGAGCGGCACACGGCAGCACAGGCTCATCCGTTTTTCGGGTGGGGCTGACTTGCAAAAGAAGCAGTGCGGTGGAACGAGAGGCTGGGCAGGTCTGGTCTTTGGCACTTCCGTGGCTGCATAGATCAACCGGGAAAAGCAGGAAAAGGACATTTCCGGCACGGCCAGGAGGAAATGTTTGAAAGCACAGTTTTAGTGTGTGGTCTAAAGTCTCAAGCACCAGAAAATATAAACAAGGGTGCTATAGTTTAAATATATATATGTGCTGCATTAAGCATAAAGTTTGATCATTTTATGAGCCTCTCCTGGAAGTCCAGAGCGAGATTTATTTTGCACGATTACTCAGCACGCTTCAACTGCCCCCTCCCCTCCCCTCGGCTTCCCACTCTGGCCATATCTTCGACTTCCTATTAACTGCCTTTTTGTCTTTTTTTCTGAACTTGCTCTAGGTATCAAACTGGTTTGGAAATAAGCGAATCCGGTACAAGAAGAACATAGGTAAATTTCAAGAGGAAGCCAATATTTATGCTGCCAAAACGGCTGTCACAGCCACAAATGTGTCAGCCCATGGAAGCCAGGCTAACTCGCCCTCAACTCCCAATTCAGCTGGTTAGTTTTTTTTTTCTTTTGGTCGTTCTTGCTCTTTTTTTCTGCGGGGTTTTGCTTTCTTTTGGTCTCAATGTCTGCTCTTGTTTTCCTTTTAATTTGGTTCCTCCTTTGGTTTGTTCACTCTGGGGGCAATGTACTCATGTTGTGTGTTCCGTTCCTGTCCGTTTTTCTGTTCCCAAAGGCAAGGCAGCCTGGCTGGGCAGGGCAGGGCAGGGCGTGAGGTGCGCTTGCAGGGCAGCGCTTTGCCGGAGCGGCTGCCTCCCGCAGGAGAAGGGCTGTCCGTGCGCAGCTGGTGTGTCTCCACGAGGGCAGCCCCGTTTCCCGTGGGGTGGCCCCGAGACGCGGCCGGGCACATTCAGGGCTCTCCCTTCCTCACGAGATTGCCCCCTGCAAGCCAGGCTGAAGGGACAGGCAGCGGCACCGATTTCAAGGGGGCGCTTGACCGTGGTGCCCCTGGCCTGCTGCCCGAGTCCATTCTGCGTCACCTTCCCCTGGCCCCCCCCCCTCGCCTGTGTCTCCTCTTCGCTTGTCCTGCTCTGGGGCATTTGACTTCCCTCTGATACCAAAACTGCTGGAGGGGTTTTTACTGTACTGCAATTCCAGCATGGTTTGCTTCTCTCCTTTTCCGTGTGTGGGTTTGTAGTTCTCATATTATTCATTCAAGGGGCAAGTTGGTTGGGGTACCTTTTAGAGGAACGGGGTAAACATTTTAGACATACATCAACCAGGTAAATCATGTGTTGGATCCAGATTTTTATCCTCCAGTGGGAAAGTCTGCTTCGTGTTTGGCGCATGGAAGGCAATTAATGGTTTATGAAATTGTTCGCAGTAAGGTGGTTTCTAGGGCCATGAGAGCTCTGGGATGCCCTTTCTGGGAAAGAGGCAAGTTGATGATGGGGATGTTTGAAAAGAGGGGTGACGGACAGGACTGGGGCTCTGGTACTGACCCCTTTTATCCAGGTTCCAAAATATTATAAGGTGCAACTGGCTAAAAGGTATTTGTGGAAAGCTGCCAAAAATTCTTGTACAACATGGGCGTGCAAGACGACCGAAATGATGCTGAGCAACAGATGGCCCCTGCGCCAAAGGAGTTCACGTCTGCAACGAAGGGTCGGGAGCGTTCCCGGTGCGCGCCGGGGCCTTGCCCAGGGTCGTTCAGGGTTTGCTCTCGTCCACCACTTAGGACTGTGTGGCTAAGCCCGGGCTGCCCAGGGAGCCCCCTGAGGTGAGCAGAGCTGGGCAGCGCCCTTGCGGGCTCAGCCCCGCTTGGGTCTCCTCTGCCTCAGCAGACCAGCCGTTCAGCACCGCAGCCTCTCGGAGAGCTCAGGGCGGTGCCGCCGCTTCTGCCACTCGCTCACGGAGGCAGAACCGGACACGCCCCGGAAGGGGCGCCTCGTCAGTCACGCTCCCCATAAATGCTTCCTCCCTGCTTCTGAATACGGGGCAGGTGCCTTTGGCTAGGGGAGCGCTGCCGTGCTCCGCTCCCGGCCCCAGCGGCAGCCGGCCAAGCAAGAGGCTCTCCGAGTGTCCTGCAGAGCGCAAGCCGTGTGGTTTCCCCCACGGCTCGGTTGCAGGAACGCCCGTCTCGCGAGAGGAGGAGCGGCTCTGTGGGGAGGGGCAAGCCAGGGTGGCCCGGGGCGCCCGAGGCTCCTGCGGCTGTTGCCCACCGAGAGGTCAGCCGGCCGCCTAAACGTTAACTGTGTGCGCAGAACTGGCACCGGATGACACGCGGGGTCCCTTGGATGGGCTCCCAGGTGGAAGTGGCCCTCCGGTTGGCGGGATAAAAAAGCCGAGCCAGCCAAACAAGCCCCGCCTGGCTCTGGACAGTCCTCAGGGCCCTCCGTGCTACGAATCCCTCCCCGAGCAGCGTTCGCACTGCCCTCGGCACCTCCAGAGCCGGTGCCATTGCCGGGCCAGGCAGACGCTCGGGGTTCTTAGCACTGTCGCTGATGACCTTGGAGTGTGGGGACGCCCTCAGCCGTGATGGGGAACGGGGCGAAAGCAGAGCTCCGGGTCTGCCCTCCCCTCGTCTTGCCCTGCCGGGCCCGGCCCTCCCCACCCTCTGAGCCCCTTGATTCGTGCCCTCCCAGGGGCACATTCCCAGCGATCCTCCTCCCATTTCCAAACGCCACCGCCGTGTCTCCCTGGCTCTGACGGCATCACAGCTCCTCACTTGGCTGCACCGCGTCTGCTCCGGCCGTCTCCGCTCCCTGCCGGGAAAGCCAGCCGGGCCGCTGGCTCTGGGCACGCGGCTGCCTCCCCTGCACCCAGGTGCACTTCAGGCAGCACCTTCCCTCCGGCCCCGAGAACAGCGGGACTCTTAATGCCCTGGTAATTTAAGCAAGAGTTAGACGGAACGAGGTCTTCTTGTGTAACTTGCTCTAAATTTTACCAAGCCCATAATAATTTCACAAAGCACAGTTTCTTTTCTCTGGGCGACGCAGTTCTCCCATGGTTGTTTTTCCAGCTTTAAGGAGCTTTGTTTTGGACAGTGTGGGCAGTGGGAGTGGTTGAGCCCAGGATGGATATTAGATTTCTACTGTAAATTAGGTATAAACACTTCCTTAACTAGCAAAGTGCAAAGCGTTGTCCTTTCTGTGTATTCCTCTTTGGTAAAAGTCCACACTGGATGGAATTCAGTAGTGAATTTCATTCTTCCACATATTACACTCTCTCTGGCGTTGCTCTTGTTCAGGCAGCAAACTGTTCATGTGGGAACAAGTGAAGGGAAAAAACGCTTTCCCGTCTTAGAGCTTGGGTTCACTTATTTCAACTATGAGGAGATGTGGTGACCCCTAGAAGCAAGTCTGGGCGTCAGAGCATCCGATCTGTGAACTCTGGTGCTTCAGCTCAGGTCTGCCAAGGGTGGGCCATGGGCGAAAAGCACTCCGCACATGGTCAGACTTTGTTAGTGCTTTCTTTGGCTCTGTGAACACGTTCACAAGCCGGTCACCCCAGCGTTGGAGGCATGCTGTCCTGGGACCTTTGGCCGATGTCTGGCTGCTGTTGGCCTACCTTCTGCCTTTTATGCAACCGTTTAATGGAGATACTGATCCTCATGGCCGGATCAGGCCTTTCCCAGCCTTCTGCTTCCAGACGGAGGATTTGGGGGAATGTTCAGAGAGAGCGGCTCTCCAGCTGTCGAGGGCATTTGGATGTAACCAAAGGCACATTTTCCCACCCCTCTCTTAAAGGTGTAAACATAGGTAAAATTGAGCCACCCTCAGCCAGAAAGGAACGTGACAGTCGCTGAGGAGCATTTCTGCTTTCAAAGCGCAGCCGCATGAACTGCGCCCTCGCATTCTGAACTGCAATGGGTTAAACCAAAATGTAAAGTACGGCCATTGTTCACAGATGTGGTTCATTTATATAATTTGATTTCTGGCCAATAGAGGCTCACACACACATTTGGAATTGCTGCCAGGGCCTGGGGTGGTAAAAGAGAAAGGGGACGTTGACCTGTGGCTTAATCAGCTGCATCCAGGAGCAGACGGGTGCGGGGGACCCGGAGGGAGCCAGCGTGGTGCCCCCTGAGCTCCCGGACACGTGCCACGTTCAGCTTCCGGTTCTTTGGCAGGCAGAAGGATGCTGGGCTTGGCTGCCCTGAAGCGAGCCCCTGCCTGCAGCACTTCTGGTCCTCCTGCCGGTTCCTTTCAAGGGGTCCCCCCAGTCCTGCCGTTCTCCCCGCTCAGCATCATGGCAAGCAATGTCCCTTGAGGCCACCTGTGGAAAGGACGGATGGGTGCCAGGGAGAGCTTTTTCACAGCACACAGCGCTGTGGCAAGGACAGCCGGCTTCAGCATCCCCGAGGAAACTGCTCTGCGGTGGAACATAGGCCAGGTCCCTGTGGCCGGGCAGCTGGAGGATGAGCCATGGAGTCCTTACCCATGTTAGCCTGCTTGTGAATCTGGCCATGTTTAGGGCTGGCCTCCCATGAATTCTAGGTTCCCATTAAAAGAGAGCAGGAATTGTGTTGCCCTGTCCTTTAGTGAAACGAGATACTGGATAAATCAGCTCATTGCATCTTAGATCACAGGGAGTCCCGGGAGAGGCCGGGAGCGGTGGTTGTCCTCTAGAGCCAAGGAAGCACAGGGAATGGCCACCTTCCCCGAGGTGCTTTTGATGAGCTGGGGGCTTCGCTGTCCCTCCTGCCCACCCGCCAGTGGGGCTCATTCCCATGAGTCCGTGGAGCTGCCCAGCGCTCGGGGCCGTCGCAACAGCTGCTGCTCTGGCTGGGGGCACACGGTGGGTCGCCATCTCTTCCGCGTCTTCAGCAGAGATGGCGTGGCACTCTGTTCGGGTTTTGGGAAGAGCCTGGCATGGTCAGGTGGGACGTTCTCATGCACCAGCTCCATGGAAACGGCACTTTATGGCAGGGCTCCTGGGCAGCTCCTCTTAATTTCTAAGAGGCTCACAGAGGGCACCCTGACGGTGTGCGCGCTGTGTCAGTGGCAACCTGGCTTCCCATAGGTGTCATAAAGGTGCTGTTTGGAATTATTGGTGATTATTTATTTATTTATTTGAACATTTTCCACACCGTCCCCTCACAGACGTCTCAAGACAGTTTACAACCAATACAATAAAACAAGAATAGAAATAAGAGCGACCGGTGCACAGCACCTGGTGTTAAAATATAAAACCACTAAATAAAACAGGTTAACAATTACAATACCGGGAGAATAAAAGGGTTTCTGCCTGACGCCAAAAGGAAAGACGTGTTTGCGCCAGGCAAACCTCGCTGGGGAGCATGTTCCACAATCGGGAGCCACCGCAGAGAATAAACGTGGCTGGCTGGCTGACTACCCGCCTCCCAAAAAGCGCCCCCCCCCACGCCAGTCAGCTTTCAGTGCAGCATTTGTTAAGTGGGCGCCTTGTCTATTCATTTGGGCACATTTTAAAAAAGACTGGAGTGAAATAGGCCATCTGTTTAAGTACGTGAAAGACAAGTAGAAAAGAGACTTCATCACTGTAGAAAAGGGTGGGGGGAATGCAGGATTCCCAGGATCTCTTTCTGTGATGGGCTTGGAAATCCAAGTCATTTCTTTACCAGGGGAGCAAGGGCCGCGGGGAGGGGGGGGGGCTAGAGAGAAAAACATCCTTCTTTTGCCCCAGGACTTTCCTGTGAGACTTAAGACATTAAGGCTGGGAAGGGCCCTACATGTTCAGAAGTGTCACATATAGAAAAATATTAACCTAATATTTGAAAAGTACTTGGGAGAACTTGAAAAGTAATCAGGAAAAATTCTAGTAATAGTCATTGTGGAGCTGTGGGCATTGATCAGCAGTCCGTGTCCGTGGCCAGATTTTACTGATCTGTTTCCTAGCGGCTTTGGGGACCATTCCAAAGACTCTGAAGAACCCTCTGCCCAATTATTGTGGCATTCTGGGATCTGTTTTCCAGTGGGCGCCCCCTTTTTCGAGTGCCAGGCAGGGCTGGCAGGCCAACTCACCGGTGCACTCTTTCTCCAGACATGCGCACCTTCCAGATCAGGCTCCCCACTTTCGTCAGAAATGCAAATTTAAGCAGAAGTGCTAGTTGGAGGTTGGCGGCGTTTGGGACTGTGCATCTCCGCTGGGCAGCCCCGCAAAGAGCACGGAGCCTGCGCCTCTTCCGGTCGATCAGTGTGGCGTTGCCGTAGCGCAGCGGAGCCGACCTGGGCCCTGGAGACTCCCTTCCGGCCTAATTTTATGTCTAGAACTAAACTTTGCACGTTGAGCTTTCTCCTACTTAATATGCTGAGTTGCACGAGAGCCTAGCAGTAACCCCTCCCAGCCTGTCTCATGCATTCTGGTCAGAGCGCTCTTTCCAAGGGCAAGGTGAGGCGGACGCCTGCAGCGGCCCTTTCGGCCCAGTGCAGTGCGGCAGTTGCACATGCATGCAGTTGGTTTTGCATCGGGAGGACGCCGAGGCAGCATGGCAGAGACGGAGGTGGCTGCATCCCGTTGCTGTAGCCGTGACGTCCTTTGCCCAGCCAGCAATGCACAGCACACCTCTCCAGAGGTGCGATGCACACGTGTGGCCAAGTTCCCACACTACAGTTTTTGCCCAGCAGGTAGTGGCCTGGCTCTCCAGACAGATAAGCCACCGTGGGGTACGGAAGCCATCGTGGGCTGTGGCGCCTTCACCGCCCGCTGCCCAGGCGCCGGCTGCGGCCTTGGCACTCGACCCCAGCCGGCGAGCCCTGCCTCGTGCGAGCCGGGCGGCTGTGCGCTTCCGCCTGCATCTCCCAAGACAGGGACTGCCTAAGCCTTGCGCGCTCCGCAGGCATCTCCTGTGAACCGGGCGTTGCGGGTAAGCGGGCCTCGCCTTCCAGACCTCACCGCCCATTAAGACCCTGAGGCGCTGTGCGTAACAATACGGCCCAGTTGCCACCCCAGAACCGGAACTCGGCGCCACGCAGACAGGAAGCGAGTCCCCGGCCCTGGAGGACCTCCCTCGGCCGGAAAGCGACTCGAGGCCAGGCCTCTCTCTGTCGGGCTGCTCTTGCGGGGCATCCTCTCTCTCTGTTTTTCAGTTGCTGCTGCTGCTGTGCCTGCTCTGCCCTCCGGGCCACTAACCTGTTTGTTTCCTGTTTGGGGTTGCCTTGCATGCCTTCCTCTCCTTGGCTGGCAGGCTTGGGGGTCGGTCCTCTTCCTTTCTGTGACTCAGGTGCCTCCCTCTTTCCTTTCCAGGTTCTTCCAGTTCTTTTAACATGTCAAACTCTGGAGATTTGTTCATGAGCGTGCAGTCACTCAATGGGGATTCTTACCAAGGGGCCCAGGTTGGAGCCAACGTGCAGGCACAGGTAGGGATCCACCGGATGTACTGCCAGTGAATGCATCGGTGTCAGAAGGAGGAGCCCTCGACCCTGTCGGCTTCCCCCGTTCCTGTCCCAAGAGAGGAATCCAAACTCTAAACAAACCTGACCCAGCCGAAACAAAAACCCAAAACCGCCGCCGCCACCACAAATTCGGAGGTTGCCTCTGGGGATCTTGCCCACGCTCTGTGAATGCATTTGGCTCTGGCTTGATAGTCACCGTGAGAGGAAGGTCAAGACCGCGAACCGAAAGAGGGCCACGCGGGGTGCAGCTTCGTAGTGCATTTTCTGGCAGAAGGGACCCGGCATCTGTGCTCTGACTGGCTTTTCAGGGTGTCCATGTTCTGCCCGGCTTTAGGACGAGCAAACGGTGTCGTGCTCCGGAAGGGTTCCTCTCCCACTTCAGTGCCAAGCCACAGGAGCCGGCACGAGGGGGAAGTGTGGGGGAGGTCCGCTCGGGAGCACAGCCACCGCTTGTGGTGCAGGGGTCGCAACCGCGGGGGTTGCCGCTCCAGCCCACCCTGCAGCTCGGCGTTCTCTGGAATCCTCTTTTCCTCTGCCCCATCCCGTTGGCATAATGCCACCAACCATCCAAGCACTTCTGCTCTTGGGCGGTGTGACTTGGGACACGGTGGCCCCGGATGCAGAGAAGGCGGCACGCTAGGCAGCCGGTGGCCCAGAACGGCCAGGAAGGATGGGCGGTCCCGAGAGGCTGCGTGCTGCTCCGCATACTTGCTAACGGAAACCGAGTCACGTTGCAGGTGGCATCGAGAAGCCGTGGGTCAGGCCGCGCTGGGTGGAGAGCCCCAGGAGTCGCGCTTCGGGAGTGGACGGCTTGCTTCTGCGCAATTGCGGGCGCCAACAAGACCCCGCAGACACTGTCCGCCGCGGTGCGCTTCCCTCCCCGCCCGCTGCCACTGCCGCTCTCTCGGGTCCCTGGCCGTGGGTGGCAGCCTCGCTCTTTGCTCTTGGAGCGAACACTGGAAAATCTCGGCTGCGGTTGCATTCTCGTGTTTTAATGAGCAAAGCCTTGCCGTTTGATGCCTGTGTTCCTAATTCTCTCTCTGTTGTTGTTGGTCTGTCTAGGTGGATACCCTTCGCCATGTTATCAGCCAGACAGGAGGATTCAGTGACGGGCTCGCAGCGAGTCAGATGTATAGTCCACAGGGCATCAGTGTAAGAAAAATAGGCCTCCTTTTTTCTGCCCCCCCCCCCCACTCCTCTGTGTGCTCTCGCTCCCAATTATTTCAAAGCCACGGGGCTCAGAATGCCACTTAGTGGGACTTGTCTTAGCTTTACGGTCACCTAGTTTATTGCTTCCGCATCGGTCACGCCGACGGCGGAATTCCGGCTGCAGAAAAGTGGCGACTGGGCAGGCCGGTGCAGGCAGCTGGCGTCTCGGCCTGTCAGGCACGATCAGTGTCCGGGCGGCACCTGCGGCCGCTCGCACTCTGCTGAGAGGAGCTGCGGAACAGGTGACGCCCCGCGCACTGGCGGAGGGACGTGGCCGCAGACCGGGGTTGCCGAGGCAGCCGGCGAGGGGGGATCCCGCCGCGGCGGGGTGTGCCGCCCAGCGCCCGGGCCGCCTCTCCCGGTCCGGCCGGCGTCAAACACCAGCAGGGGGTGATCAGCAGGGCGCTAATGGTGGCGACGATGATGACACCCCAAAAGTGGAAGATGGGAAAACGAGGGGGGTGGAGAGGAACATCTTCTGCTTGTTCTGGGTTTGGCTGGCGGCTCCTGACTAGCATGAAAATTCATAGCGACAAGCTGTGGCGTACAGAGTGAAATCGATCAGACAGACACAAGGAGAACCGAGTGTGGATTTGGGACAGCAATCCAACTTCATTTCTCAGATCAATCATCCGCCGTCTCAGCGGCGGTGACAGCAAGCTGGGGCGAGAGGGCAGCTTGCTGGGGAAGGGGGTGCCGTGTGCCACGCCGGGGACTCCTCTGTGCCCCTTCTAGAGGCCAGAGGTGCTGCGGCACCCAAGTTTGTCTGGAAATACCGGAGGGAGGAAGCGCCGTTCCCGTGCTTCGGCTTTTTGCGCAGTCGCCTCGGGCACGCGGAGAGCCAGCGGGGGGTGGGGGGCATGCTTGGCCCCCTCCCACCTCCTCCGCAGAGCCCTCGGGATCGCCACGGCCTCGCTGCACTCATGGCGGTGCCACGGAGACGCCGCCCTCGCTCGGCGGGGGCGGTTGGTTGGGCCACCCCGGGCCCTCCTGGCCTCCCCGTGAGCTCGCGTCAGTTTGCAGCACAAGCACCAGGCACAAGACGCGCAGCGAGGGAAGCCCTTCGGACGGCTCACCAGGACCGCCTCCCTCCCCGCCCTCCGAAATCGCCAGCCGCAGGAGCCAGTTGTCCGGGTGCCCGGGCTGGGTCGGGGCTGCCGACCGCTTTGCAGGCTAGGCAAGAGCAGCGCTTCACACGTTGCAAGCCACAGACCGTTCTTGCAGAAAGAGATCTCTGAGCATGCACAGAGTGGTTCGTTGAACTCAGTCTAGTATTTGCTGATAGGATGCTCCCTATGAGCTTGCTTGGCCCCATCCCTTCGGGAGGGGCCCTTTGGAAACGAGCGCCCCACCACTCTGCAGGCCGATCCTCTCTGCGGATGTCACGCCGTGAGGGGGAGAGCTGCCCCTGCCTCGTCTGTCTCTGTCCCAAGCCCCCTCCCCACCGCTGCTCGTCTTGGCTGTTCTTGGAGGCTGCCGGAACTCCAGCGATGCCTGGACTTGAGACTGGCTCCTCTGCTTCACTCCTCTCCACATCTGGAGCTGGCCTGAGTTGTTCCTCCTCCTCACTCCCAGCACCTGGAGGAGGCAGGGAAGGGGACGGCGCTCTCCAGCGCGCGGCGCTTTTTCCGTATCAGGATGTCATGCCTCGCCTGTCGCTAACCTCTCAGCTCATCCTGGACCTCGGCACTCACAGCCAGAGGCTGGTTCCGGATGCAAGCCGGACCAGAAGGAAAGAGCCGCAAGTGCCAGGCTAGGAGGAGGAAAGCGGGAGAAAGGAGGAAGATCCGTCGGATGGGAAGCTCAGGCCGCACGTCCGCCACGCTGTGCTTCGGCGAGACGGTGCCATTGGCACGGAGCGGAGTGGCCCCGTCACGCCCCCGCGGGCCCTTTGACGGCCCCCTTCTGGTCTCGCCTCGTTATGGGGAGGGGTTTCGGGGTGCGGCCCATATTCCAACGGAGTCCCGAAATGCCGGAGTTGGCACATCAGAGAGGATGGTTTTGAGTTGTCCATTCGCTGTCGCGTTCGCTGAGCGTAAGCAGAAGACTTTTTTGAAAGGGGAGCATCAAGCGACCGTGGCCCTTCTTCCACCCCACGAAGGGGCTGGTCTCCCGCTCTTCCGCCTCGCTCTGCCACATGCTTTGCCACACGGGACCTCCCCTGGATAGCAGGGCGCAAAAGCCGTAGCTCCTTCCACGCCTGCCCTACCCGGGGAAATGCCCTCCACGGGCTCCTCGGCCGGGTACGCTCCTCCTCCCGAGCAGGGTGCGCGCAACCGGCAGCCACGGCTCTGCCTCCCATCGCCCGGAAGGCGGAGAAGCCCCCCAGGAGGGCGGGTGGGAGGAGCTGCCGCCGGCGTGGGCTGCAGCTGCGGTGCGTGCTATCCGAGCGGCTTCCCTGGAATCCCGCGCAGCTGGCCCGCGTGCCCCCATCGAGCCGGCATCGCCGGGCAAGGACGGTGGAGCGCTCTGAAGCAAACACAGCTGAACATGTGCAGACAGTGCTGTCTGATTGCATAAGCCCGTGGCAGAAACTGGGCCTGAAAATGCCGCGTGAAGGAGCCTTTCGCTCCACATTAATCTCGGCACTGGCTGAATTCATTTCATTCATTTCATTTCCATCCCGGCTCTTTAATACCGAGGAGCAGATGAATCGGGGGCTGATCGTGATCAGACATGATCCTTCGCTGCAAATTAGCCCTGCCCCCCTCGCCCGGCCAGGAGAGGCGCAGCTCGGTGCAGCCGCTCATCTGTCTGAGAACAGCACATGTCGGGGCTGGCCCGGCACCGGGGCCCCTTGGCTCCGGGAGAGGCGAGGAGAGCCGGGGCGGGCTGGACGCTGCCGCGTTGTGCCAGGGCAGAGCCTGACCTCGCTGGGTGGCCGTTAAGGAGATCCTGCAAGACGGGGACTGGGCCTCATCACGGCCGCTTCACGGGCGAGCCAGGCTGCCCACGTGTTCTGGAGAGGCGACGGGTCGGGGCTGCGGAGGGTGGATCTGGGACATGGCAGAGCGAGCCAGCATCTCTGGAGAAGCAGGGCCGCGCCGCACGAGGAGCGCAAAGAGTTGCCCCAGGAGGCTGCGGCACCTCTGCTCCCTGCACCTCCCGAGGGAGACCGAAGGGCACCTGACATGGCTCGGACGCCTGGCAGCTTGTCCCGGTCACAGGCTTCTGCCTTTAGTCCTCTCGGCTGTGCCGGGCCGTCCGAGGGACTGAGCGGCAGAGAGGCCTGCCTTGCGGTGGCTGGCAGCTGGCAGGGACCTTGCCGGCAGGGAATGCCGGCAGCCTCTGTCCGCAGGAGCTGCAGAGGCTGGGTTCAACTCGAAAGCAAAGCAAGGGTGAGTTGTGCAGCACCTCAGAGGCAAACAGGTGGATTCTGGCGTGGTCCTCCGTTGGTGCCTGTAGCGCAATGGCCGCTTCAGGATTTTCTGGGGTGTTGCAGGAAAGGGGAGGTGAGGGATGATGGTCAGCGGCCTTCAGGGCCAGGGGCTCTTTATCTGAGCCTAACGGTGCCCTGAATTCGCCGGGTCGTGTGAAGGGGCTTCCAGTACTCGTGCTGGCTTCCTGGAGGAGCCCTGCAGCCTTCCGCCTCGTGGCAGAGGCAGCCTCCCGGGGCTGCTTTGGACCCTGTGCTCCGCGCGGGCCCAGGACAAGCGCCCTCCCAGGATGCCCTTCCCCATCCAGGTCTCATTCCATCACATTTCTGGCCAGGCGCGCTTCTCCCGCCCCTGCAGGAGTCGGCTCAGAGCCCTCCTCAGACGCTTCTTCACGCCGTGTCCAGCTGCTCTCGCCAGCCCTTGTGAGGTGCAGCCCAGCAGGAGGCCATCTCCCGGAAGGTGCAGCCCCAGTCCCAGAACCCAAATCTCTCATGTTGGCACTGTCTTTGTAACGAGGTCGTCTTCTTCCACTGTCTGTACCTTTTCCAAGGACTGGAAAGATTGAAGAGAAAAGTGTCTGGGCCCCAAAGTTCTTGACTCCCCCCCACCCCAGCACTTCAAACCCCAACAACAGGCGAAGACTTATGCACAACAGTGAAGGGAGGAGCTCCAGTGGAGCCCAGGAGCGGTGTTCCAAAAAGTGTTGATTGGCTGATGCCCGGCATACGGGAAGCAAACAGCACAAACCGGAACTCTTAATGCAGGAGCGGGAGACGCGCGTGCCTGGAATCCAGCAGTTGACGGATATCACCTCTTCAAGAAGAGCAGAATGGGAAGCAGAGTCATGCGATAAGTTAAAGGTGCAGGTCTCTGCACAGGAACACAGGAGGATGGGCTTGGTGGCCCCATCAAGAGCGTCTGGACTGATTTAAATGGAGCCAGGAATAAAGGACACGGTGGCTGGAGTCTGCCACTGCCCACCATCCCCACCCCGCCCCCAGTCAAGGAGAAGGCAAGGGCCAGGCTTTGGAAAAGCAAACTGCCAGTGCTTCGGAAGGCAGAATGTCATAGTTTTGGGGACGTTGGTTTCCCCAGTACCTGTTGGGAGACAAATCCTGCCGAAAACCGCCCCCCAAGAGATTCCTGACTTGTTCCTGACAGCTTCCTCTTGCAGAAGGTGGAGGAGGGAAGTAGGGGCACAGCTGTCCTTGACTCTGCAGACTGGGAGGCCCTACTGGGGAAAGTGGCCGTTCTCCCCACTCTGGGGGAAAGTGGGCATGCCGTCCTTGAATCCTTGGCTCTAAAGGAAGCAAAAGCCAAGTGCTTCCAGTGCTTGTCGCCAAACATGTACCCCAGATTTGAGGAGAGGCAGTTTTAATGAACTCAGAAGCTACTGACATAACATCCCATGATATCCTGATTAGCAAACTAGCTAAAAGTAGGGCAAGAAATGCGCGGACACCGCGGTGGGAGTGGGGGGGCGCGGGGGGTGTCCTGGTCCGGGGCTGGGATCTGCCGGGAGGCCCGATGGAGCCGAGCCCTGGCAGAACTCCGGCTGGGAGCCCA